TGCCGCTGTTACCCTAGAGTAATATATACTCCGGCTTGTCCGGCCTTTAAACTTATTCATATCTAAAATGTCCCCGTGGTATTGTAGAGCGTTGTACCAAAGTAGAATCAGGATGTAATAAGATGCTTATAAAAAGGACACATGGGTGAAACAATTCTTGTATTCCCCCGTATTGTTTCAATGTTGTTACAGCCGACGTAAAATGAAATTATCGCTGTTCATTTTCGTTAAACGACGTTATCGGGTATAATGTAAAGTGAAGATACAATATTATTTGAGTAAACACATATTCCGCGTTGGTTATGATTACGTGATTATGTCATATCAACGATTAACAAGCAGATGTTTTCATCGAAACGGATATGCTGCATGTCCATGTTTAAATACCGTAGGGTATAGAGCCGATCCTGTAGATCGTTGTAGGGTATTAGAGCCGATCCTGTAGGTCGTTGTAGGGTATTAGAGCCGATCCTGTAGATTGTTGTAGGGTATAAGAGCCGATCCTGTAGATCGTTGTAGGGTATTAGAGCCGATCCTGTAGATCGTTGTAGGGTATTAGAGCCGATCCTGTAGATCGTTGTAGGGTATTAGAGCCGATCCTGTGGGTCGTTGTAGGGTATTAGAGCCGATCCTGTAGATCGTTGTAGGGTATTAGAGCCGATCCTGTAGATCGTTGTAGGGTATTAGAGCCGATCCTGTAGGTCGTTGTAGGGTATTAGAGCCGATCCTGTAGATCGTTGTAGGGTATTAGAGCCGATCCTGTAGATTGTTGTAGGGTATAAGAGCCTACCCTGTAGATCGTTGTAGGGTATTAGAGCCGATCCTGTAAATCGTTGTAGGGTATGAAAGCCGACCCTGTAGATCGCTGTAGGGTATTAGAGCCGATCCTGTAGATCGTTGTAGGGTATTAGAGCCGATCCTGTAGATCGTTGTAGGGTATTAGAGCCGATCCTGTAGATCGTTGTAGGGTATTAGAGCCGATCCTGTAGATCGTTGTAGGGTATTAGAGCCTATCCTGTAGGTCCTTGAATGGTATAACAGCCTATCCTGTAGGTCGTTGTAGAGTATAAGACTCTATCCTGTAGATCGTAATAGGTTATAGGAGCCTATCCTGTCGATGGTTATAGGGTATAAGAGCCTATCCTGTAGATGGTTGTTCCTTTCATCCCTCCTTAGTGACCGCCTACGTGGTCTAGTTGCTAGAACGTCTGTCCGAAGAGGAAGGTCGGGGCTATATGAATACGTAAAAATATGGCACTTGTTGTTACCCTGCCTGGCGCTCATCATAAAAGGGATAAAACTAAGGTCTGTCTGTGTGAGGTACACGTTCATGCATGTCGCATGTGTGAAATAATCTTGAACGCAGCATTAAACCCCATTTCACCACATCTCACAGTCTTCGCTTGGTCGTCATTTAAGGAGGTTTAATAGACAAGTGGGTGGAAAGTTCTCACGCCGTGCAGAAAGCCGTGTTCGAATCCTTCAGAGGTACTACGTGTTGTCGCTAAACGTGATATCGCTGACAGTGTCTCAGGCGGTCGAATTCCCTCTCTCTCATAAAAATTAACTGTTTTGGATCAGCATATACAAGCGTGCTAGAAAGAATTGGTCAGGTTTCGATTACAGGATCGCATAGGTTAGGATTTGTCGTCTGACAGATCGTTACCTTGCTCCAACGTTTCACTATTATACATGTCGTCATGTTGGGCTTACCTCCCCCATGCAGCATCCATCCGCCATCCGCCATCAATGTTACGACTCCTGGTGTGAAATGGTTGAAATTATATATAATTTTAAGTCTACGGCGAGGGAATCTACTTAAACCATGGAAACTTTGGAACCTGCGCACCTTAATACCTACATGTAACATGCTGAACAACTGGTGTCATCAATTAATTTCAGTGATCCATTCGTTTTATTGTCTTCACGATTTTACCGTTTACGACCAATGGAATCTGTCTCGGAGCCTGGAGTTCTCTGGAGTTGAGGTTTTCTATATTTTTATAGCATATTGAATATGATATCCAAGAACTATATGGGAAACAATGAGAACAGTGTGCTTCGCACCTGCCTTGTATTTGCATTTCGCGTTTTGGCGACATTTTTGGCGAAATGCATTGCGTACCATTCTTCTGGACCACATCGAGAATATTTAGCAATCACGTCAATATCATAAGCAAACATTGCCCTCATCAAGAAGAGACTATGTATATTTTTCGTGTTACCGTCGTTTCTTTTAATGTTAATCTAAAACTTTACACTTGCATTCCATGTAGAGCCTAATTTACTGAAAAAAAATAATTAATTAATCCCGTTAAAACATCGAATTAACTATTACCGTGATGTCAGTAAATATTTCATTGCTCATCGAAGAAGGCTACATTCGTCGGCCTGGGTGTGACCTAAAGTTGCGAAACGAGTTTTCGAAATAGTTGTTGCATCAATAAATGATAGAAGAAAAAGCTTTTTTATTGTCAAGTGGTGCCTACCAAATAATTCAGTTAGGTAATGCCCAGAGAAGACAAAAGAGTCTTTCATCCTAAATTATGTATCACCTTAAAACACATTTGAAAAATTATGCCCTGGTAACGGCTTAACTTCTTTCCATCTCGTTGGTTTAAGTGACACTTCAAACGTATGTATATCACAGATAACGCCCTTCTGCCTAATTGTACAAGCAACACTACTTTAAAAGTGGCATGGGACTTGGCCCAAGTTCCACTTAATCATTATAATTACTTACAATGTATGAGGGACATAATCCTCACCGTCTTATTAAGTCAGCATCAAATACACATGAACTTGTTTTGGGATGTATTTAAGCTCTTTATCAGTTTGTGACACGTTTAGTGGTTCTGACATTCGGCAAGGGCGCCAGTGCTCTACTGAAACAACACTAAGGTATCAGCCAAATACCGCGAAAATCACTCGTTATGTGATGCTAATGCTGAAGCGATGCACGGTGCCATTACCTACTAATTGCGGATATTTGATACTGGACGTTAGATGGTGGTGAAAACGGTTGACCCCATGTGATCGATAACGAACCTTGCCCTATTCAAGGGCTAGTATCTATTGCAAGTCAATTCACCGGTTTAAAGTAAGAATGTGAGTTAGTTTGATTTTACGCCGCTTTTAGCAATATTCCAGCAATATGACGGCGGGGGACACCAGAAATGGGCTTCACACATTGTACCCATGTCGGGAATCGAACCCGGGTCTTCGGCGTGACGAGCGAACGCTTTAACCAATAGGCCCTTAAAGTAAGAAAGACCATCGGTCCTATTATGAGCGAGTTACATAGGCATACAGGCATATTACGAATTATTGTAGTATACGAAGTTTCAAGTGAGTGAGTGAGTGTCTTTGGTTCAACGCCGCTTTTAACAGTATTTCAGTTATATCACGACGTGTCAGCTTAATGTAGGAGGAAAGCCCCAAGTGATGCAGGTCTCAGACGTTTACCACTTCGGTGAAACCCACGAGCACGGGTATGGTGCTGACAAACCTAGAAACATAATCGGGGCGAACCGGGATTTGAAACCACAATCACAGGTTTCTGGCGTGCACAAGTCTCCACAGTGAACTACGCCCATGCTTTCTGGAGTAGCAGGACAACAGCCGAGGTTATATAAAAGCATGACGTATATATATAATGTTTGAATGCCAGAAGACACACATATTATTTGTAGATCGACATAAATATCACCAGGTGGGAAAGTAGTCCGTTTTTGATTTGTTACATCCTGGGGAAAAACATAAATCAAAACTTGTCTTCAACACCAAGGCTACAGACGGAGCAAGTTCGAAGTGACATATGAATAACTGCCTTTATTCACACTCAGTTGAAAGGTCAGGGATGTCCGTTTACAAAACTTGTTTACAGCCTTAAGACTGTCAATCTCATTAAAATCATATCTTAGTCCTCGCTACCGCTAAACAAAGATCTGAGGACATCCCATTACGGGTCACGTCAGAACGACCTTTCGCGAATTTTGACCGATCAATGAAATGACTGACAAGAAATCGATATTAGCCAATCAGAAGCCAGCTTTCCCGAGCTTTACGACACTAGTTTCAAACTGGCGACTACGCTTCGAAACATATTTTGACGTATTCTCGATTAAAAATTATAAAACTGATAAACAGAACGTTCTGGAATGACTTATAGATGGCCTAGATTGTATGGATAATCATAAAACCCGTAACTGTCGTTCGGAATACCCTTTGTAAAATATTTCGAGGTTGCATGATTAGAAAACACATGCCGTCTGTCACTTTCATAATCTGGTAAGCGACGCTCTGATTGGTCGGATGAAAGGTCGTTCTGGCGTAACCCGTAATGGGATGTCGTCAGATCTTTGTTTAGCGATAGCGAGAACTAAGATCTGTTTTTAATGAGATTGGATGACTGGAGGAGCGGGGTCATTAACGTACTGACAGCAGCTTTGTTTGAAGATGTCTCAAGAATGACCTTCATGACCACTCGAACAAGTACCTGTAAATATCCCCCGAAAGGTCATGGATGAAAGTATTTCAATGTGACAGTTTCCAACAACTCACCTGTCCGCACTGCAGCAATCCAGGGCTCCTCCACTTCCGGTGTGGACATTCGGTTAAAATGGCCATCAATACTTCATGCTTGTCGACAGAACCGAGAAAATTGGAGATCAGTCGGTCAGTTTCCGGAAGCAGGGTGCATGCAATTCAATGACTTTACGGTTGGTTGGTTGGCTGTTTTACGCCGCACTCAACAATTCTCCAGCTATGTGAAGGCGGTCTGTAAATAATCGAGTCTGGACCCGACAATGCAGTGATTAATATCATGAGCATCGATCCACGCAATTGGTACCGATGACATGCATCAACCTAGTTAGCGAGCCTGACCACCCGATCCCGTTAGTCGCCCCTTACGACAAGCATAGTCGCCTTTTACAGCAAGCATGGGTAGCTGAAGACCTATTCTACCCCGGATCTTCACTTGTTTGTTTAGGACAATAATGTGCTGGTTCCGACTGCCACTGACGGCAAGTGGTACAGGTTTCATAAACACACAGTGCCATCATTTCATTCTGACCACTGCGCATGTATTGTTATATATATTTACACGGGGATTTACTATCCAGATTGTTTCATATCACAGAGATACACGTTTGAATACCTCTAATGATTTAACGTTTTCAACTGCTTTGCTTCTGTTTTTTGTGAGTGGGCGAAAGTTGTTTCTTCAGCTCTTGAGAAACTTTCGATTCAGTCTTGGTGTCACTCACTGTCTAATAAACCAGAATAATTGAGTTTCAGAAGATACAACTCGACGCATACTGCGTAGGTGGTCGTCCAATTCTATCCACAACGCTGAGAAACGTGCTTAATGCAGGGATAGACACGGTCTCTAGAGCGGCAAGGAGAGCCTAGTAACAATCCAGTCGGACTATTTATTTTTACATGACCACTAGTCCGAAATGAGCAGCTGAATATGTGTATGTGAGCAATGGTGTCTACCCTGTTCAGAAGTTCGAATGTACCATAACATTAAAAAATCATGAAGCTACAACATGAGTTCCATGATTTAAATCTTACAGAGGAGAAATTCCGTATATTTATTCCTCTAATGCTATTTTTATTCGGCTAAAATATGTTTTAACATCGTGTGGACGAGGCAAGCTTGTCATTTTACTGAAAACCAGAGTTTTCCTTCCCTTCCAGTATCAGTCAAGTTCGGCGCAGTTGGGGCCATGTGGTTTCTACCTTCTAACACAATCGGTGGATCTTGTGGTCATGTGGTATGAAAGAATACTAAACGAGCCCCCTTTTATTCCAATTTTATGAAACGAGTGAATAGTTCTGGTATCTGATGAGCGCTTACCCACACCCGACATCACCCCATATCCGGCATCACCGAGCATCCGGCATCACCCCACATCCGGCATCAACCCAGATCAGGCATCATTCCACATCCAGCATCAGCCTACATCCACCATCGGCCTACATCCGGCTTCACCCTACATCCGCGATCACACCACATACAGCATCACTCCACATCCGGCATCACCCTACATCCAGCTTCACCCCATAACCAGCATCACTCCACATCCGGCATCACCCTACATCCAGCATCACCCCATATCCAGCATCACTCCACATCCGGCATCACCCAATATCCAGCATCGGTCAACATCCGGCATCACCCTACATCCGGCTTCACCCTACATCCGCGATCACACCACATACAGCATCACCCCACATCCGGCATCACCCAATATCCAGCATCACTCCACATCCGGCATCTACCAATATCCAGCATCACTCAACATCCGGCATCACCCTACATCCGGCATCACCCCACATCCAGCATCACACCATATCCAGCATCACCCCATATCCAGCATCACTCCACATCCGGCATCACCCAATATCCAGCATCACTCAACATCCGGCAACACACCATATCCGGCATCACCCCACATCCAGCATCACACCATATCCAGCATCACCCCATATCCAGCATCACTCCACATTCGGCATCACCCAATATCCAGCATCACTCAACATCCGGCATCACCCTACATCCGGCATCACCCCACATCCAGCATCACACCATATCCAGCATCACCCCATATCCAGCATCACCCCACATCCGGCATCACCCAATATCCAGCATCACTCCACATCCGGCATCACCCAATATCCAGCATCACTCCACATCCGGCATCACCCAATATCCAGCATCACTCCACATCCGGCATCACCCCACATCCGGCATCACCCCACATCCGGCATCACCCAATATCCAGCATCACACCATATCCAGCATCACCCCATATCAAGCATCACCCCACAACCGGCATCACCCAATATCCGGCAACACTCCACATCCGGCATCACCCCATATCCAGCATCACTCCACATCCGGCATCACACCATATCCAGCATCACCCCATATCCAGCATCACTCCACATCCGGCATCACCCAATATCCAGCATCACTCAACATCCGGCATCACCCTACATCCGGCATCACCCCACATCCAGCATCACACCATATCCAGCATCACCCCGTATCCAGCATCACCCCACATCCGGCATCACCCAATATCCAGCATCACTCCACATCCGGCATCACCCAATATCCAGCATCACTCCACATCCGACATCACCCAATATCCAGCATCACTCCACATCCGGCATCACCCCACATCCAGCATCACCCCACATCCAGCATCACTCCACATCCGGCATCACCCCATATCCAGCATCACCCCATACCCAGCATCACCCCAAATCCAGCATCACCCCATATCCAGCATCACCCCACATCCGGCATCACCCAATATCCAGCATCACACCATATCCAGCATCACCCCATATCCAGCATCACCCCACATTCGGCATCACCCAATATCCGGCATCACTCCACATCCGGCATCACCCCATATCCAGCATCACTCCACATCCGGCATCACCCCATATCCAGCATCACTCCACATCCGGCATCACCCCATATCCAGCATCACCCCATACCCAGCATCACCCCATATCCAGCATCACCCAATATCCAGCATCACCCCACATCCGGCATCACCCAATATCCAGCATCACTCCACATCCGGCATCACCCCATATCCAGCATCACTCTACATCCGGCATCACCCCATATCCAGCATCAGTCAACATCCAGCATCACCCCATATCCAGCATCACCCCATACCCAGCATCACTCCACATCCGGAATCACCCAATATCCAGCATCACCCCATCAACAGCATCACTCAACATCCGGCATCACCCTGCATCCGGCATCACACCACATCTGGCATCAAACCACATCTGGCATCACCATACATCTTGAATCACACCACATCCGGCATCAAACCACATCTGGCATAACCCTACATCTTGAATCACACCACATCCGGCATCACCCCACATCCGGTATCACCCTACATCCGGCATCACACCACATCTGGTATACTCCTACATCCGGCATCACCCCACATCCGGTATCACCCTACATCCGGCATCACACCACATCTGGTATACTCCTACATCCGGCATCACCCCACATCCGGTATCACCCTACATCCGGCATCACACCACATCTGGTATACTCCTACATCCAGCATCACTCCACATCCGGCATCACCCAATATCCAGCATCACTCCACATCCGGCATCACCCAATATCCAGCATCACTCCACATCCGGCATCACCCAACATCCGGCATCACCCCACATCCGGCATCACCCAATATCCAGCATCACACCATATCCAGCATCACCCCATATCAAGCATCACCCCACAACCGGCATCACCCAATATCCGGCAACACTCCACATCCGGCATCACCCCATATCCAGCATCACTCCACATCCGGCATCACACCATATCCAGCATCACCCCATATCCAGCATCACTCCACATCCGGCATCACCCAATATCCAGCATCACTCAACATCCGGCATCACCCTACATCCGGCATCACCCCACATCCAGCATCACACCATATCCAGCATCACCCCGTATCCAGCATCACCCCACATCCGGCATCACCCAATATCCAGCATCACTCCACATCCGGCATCACCCAATATCCAGCATCACTCCACATCCGACATCACCCAATATCCAGCATCACTCCACATCCGGCATCACCCCACATCCAGCATCACCCCACATCCAGCATCACTCCACATCCGGCATCACCCCATATCCAGCATCACCCCATACCCAGCATCACCCCAAATCCAGCATCACCCCATATCCAGCATCACCCCACATCCGGCATCACCCAATATCCAGCATCACACCATATCCAGCATCACCCCATATCCAGCATCACCCCACATTCGGCATCACCCAATATCCGGCATCACTCCACATCCGGCATCACCCCATATCCAGCATCACTCCACATCCGGCATCACCCCATATCCAGCATCACTCCACATCCGGCATCACCCCATATCCAGCATCACCCCATACCCAGCATCACCCCATATCCAGCATCACCCAATATCCAGCATCACCCCACATCCGGCATCACCCAATATCCAGCATCACTCCACATCCGGCATCACCCCATATCCAGCATCACTCTACATCCGGCATCACCCCATATCCAGCATCAGTCAACATCCAGCATCACCCCATATCCAGCATCACCCCATACCCAGCATCACTCCACATCCGGAATCACCCAATATCCAGCATCACCCCATCAACAGCATCACTCAACATCCGGCATCACCCTGCATCCGGCATCACACCACATCTGGCATCAAACCACATCTGGCATCACCATACATCTTGAATCACACCACATCCGGCATCAAACCACATCTGGCATAACCCTACATCTTGAATCACACCACATCCGGCATCACCCCACATCCGGTATCACCCTACATCCGGCATCACACCACATCTGGTATACTCCTACATCCGGCATCACCCCACATCCGGTATCACCCTACATCCGGCATCACACCACATCTGGTATACTCCTACATCCGGCATCACCCCACATCCGGTATCACCCTACATCCGGCATCACACCACATCTGGTATACTCCTACATCCGGCATCACCCCACATCCGGTATCACCCTACATCCGGCATCACACCACATCTGGTATACTCCTACATCCGGCATCACCCCACATCCAGGTTCACCCTATATCCAGCATCACACCACATCCGGCATCACACCACATCCGGCATCACACCACATCCGGCATCACCCCACATCCAGCTTCACCCTATATCCAGCATCACACCACACCCGGCATCACACCACATCCGGCATCACACCACATCCGTCATCACCCCACATCCAGCTTCACCCTATATCCAGCATCACACCACATCCAGCATCACACCACATCCGGCATCACACCACATTCGGCATCACCCCACATCCAGCATCAGCCAGCATCCAGCAACAACCCACAACCTGGATCAGCACACAACCAGTATCAACTGATCATGACACATCCCATTCCCCCAATATATTGCGTCATCCTTCTTCTTGCAACAGACGAAACCCTACATCCAGATTCTCCCCATATCAAGCATCAACCCACTACCAACGTCAACTCACATCCGGCATCCTCCAATATTTTGTATCCTCCTACTCCTGGCATCACACAAAACCTGACATCACAAAACATCCGCTATCCTCCCACATCCGGCATCCCACACATTTAAGTGTCTTCCGCCCACAACCACATTGCTCCCATATTCAGTAAATCACTATATATGTCACCCAATGACAATGAATTCACAGCAAATCTTCAAAACAACATAGCAGAATATTTTAATCAAAGTTTGATAGATGGTTTCTTCTCATCCTCAGAAAAGAACATGACACATTTCGTTCACAAAAAAGGTTTTTTATTCATCAATAAAATCACTCACTCACAGCCAAATGCCTTCGTGGAACACCTAATCTGAACTTCAAAGTCTCAACAAATACGATCCACCATACAGCCTGCAAATTGAGTTCATCTTGCAGAAAACATTTGTGACTGAAGCCAAGTCAGACCTCAGATCTTGCCCTAAAACATGGTCTTCAGGAACGTCAAATAAAATGACATATAGTTTATGTCAAAGCTTGTCGCAAGGGCTATTTCCAGAAGGTTGATAGGGCCTTGTATGAAGAATTAGTATTCGAAGTTAAGGGTGGAACACCACGAATCACGTGTCTAAGTTTTGTTTGTTTGTTCGTTTGTTGCTTAACGCCGCACTCAGCAATATTCCAGCTATATGACGGCGGTCTGTAAATAATCGAGTCTTGACCAGACAATTCAGTGATTGACTTCATGAACATCGACCCACGCAATTGGGATCGATGACATGCATCAACCAAGTCAGGGAGCCTGACCAGCCGATCCCGTTAGTCGCATCTCACGACAAGCATAGACGCCTTTTACAGCAAGCGTGGATTGCTGAAGACCTATTCTACCCCTGGAAGAGACAGTGATAAAATCAGGATAGGTATCCTCTAGGCATGTGTTAACATCTAGAAGTCATACATTAATAACATTTGTGTTATCCCGTTAGGCTTCCTGGTTAGAACAGTAAGCTGTACCTGTGCAAGGCGTCAAAAGGTTCGGTTGGTCATACTCGGTTGCGTAGGATCTCGCTCATAATATCAAGCACAAATATGTCTGGTTATGAATTGATTCATTAAGGCCGTCGTCTGCAGTTGCAATCTTCTGGCGTTAAACAACAAATCAACTCTACAAAAACAACTTGAAAACAAGGCAGTTTCGATTTCCATCACTTATGCTTATCACACCAACTTTTAGCACACACACACACATACACACACACATTCTCTCACACACAAACACAACACACTAACCCATGCATAGACTAGACACATATTCACATATAAAACACACACACTCACATATCACAAACCCACACAAATCCACAGACAGATTGACACACTCACTCACACAAACGACACATCGACGTACAGACTGACACACACAAACTCACCCACAGACAGACACACACACGCGCGTTCACTGTGCACTACTCGTATTATCTACTCAAAGTAGATCTTGTTGCATCAATCTGGGATAAAAGATAACACAGGAACTTGATGGAGATGGAGCAAGACCATTTTCTTTATTGGAATAATATTCTTCATAAACCTGCTGCCACTTGTGCCCTGTGTATTGTCGGTAACACCCCTTGTACACAGCTGTCACAAACAAGACCCAGATCATATCTGAAGTACCCTCAATTATTATTGCTAGCATTTGATCCCCAGCTAACTCTTTAAGCATTAGACTGGCTGAATCGAAAACATCCTGAAAAACGTCTTCTCTTATTTCATATCTTACCTCCACAACAGAACGTCTGAATTATCAGATCTGGCACAGAAATTGGCAAGACATATTGGATTAGAACCCAGGTCTTCGTATGACGAGTCACAGCTGTTGATCATATGCTTAGCAACCAAACACGTTCGCTCTAAAGATTCTTAATGCTGCTTAAAGATATATAATGGAAAAACTTTGTGAAAGTTTAGTGATTATATCTTTCTACCGTCACGCCAAAGCCTGCTTCCGATTTCCCACATTGGTTTATTCAATATTGGTATCTTACTCAGTGAAACATCGTTGACAGTACTAGTAGTGTAAAACGAAGTCTCTTCAATCCCTCAATTATTATTTGTTATGTGAACGTGAATAGTGATTACAGTAAACTACGTTTATAACGAACACGCTTATAACGAACTGAACGATATAACGAACTTATTTCTTAGTCCAGGCCATTTGCTGTTTATATACTGTATATATGCTTATAACGAACTACAATTATTACGAACTAAAATTAGTGGTCCCTTTGAGTTCGTTATAACCGTAGTTTAGTGTATGTTGAAACCACTTGTAGGGCGAACATATACTCATTGACCATTGAGTGAACATATTGTTTACCACCGCTTGTAGTCAAATACGGAACGTCAGCGCCGGACAATAACCTGCCTCGATTAACCGTCGAAACAGATTCCATTGGGCGTAAAATGAATAAATAGCGGTGAAAATTATAGGAATGGATCACTGAAAATCAGTGATGACACCAGGTGTTCCCGAAAAGGGTAATAAAGCATGTCCTGCTTTACTGGTATCATCCGCTACTCACACAATTTGCATAAAAAAGGAAGCTCTTGTTTGTTGTTTGACGCCTCACATCAGTGCCCCCACCACCTGAAGGTGGCGGGTAAACAAGTGAGTGAGTGAGTGAGTTTGGTTTAACGCCGCATTTAAACCAAACTCACTCACGCCGCTGCGTAAAACAATACTCACTCACTCCTAAATTTACAGGCTTTCTCTTTTGTAACTACATGTGCAGTCACGCAACTGGGAGTTGTGGACACTGACCAGTGAGCAGCACGTGTCAGAACACACGGGCGGTCAGAAGGGTTGACGAATTATTCTGCACCTAGGTCGTTGCTGCAGTAGCTGGGGGCATATTAAGCCAACGAGCCTAGCTCAGCGTTAACTCCAGTTACATCATCGCTTGAACCAACTCCAACAAAAAATGGCCAATGACGTAACTGAAACCAACTTTTCCAATTTGAACGTCACGATCACGTATTACATCTTCGGCTCTGTTATGTAAAACATATGAGGGCCCAATAAATCGACACAATTTGAGAATTAAACGTATTATCTTGTACGTAACATGTGCGTGTTCAAGGCGACAGGTTTATTGATTTCTATGGGCTTCCCGACGAATGCATCCCATGGGCGTTAGATGAAAGCGGATAAGGCCTTGATTCACTAAACAACAGGAAGTCTCATTCTTATCTTTTTTTAAATCACAAGGACTAATTATTCTCCTCCGCCCATGTAACATATCCTGACTAAATCAGATTAGCTGTGTGTATAACCACACTAATTATGTCACTTCTGATTATTTAATTATATTGGCGTATGGCGTGCGCTGATGTTGTTAGACAGGACGCAATAAACCAACAGCAAGCTACTCTGGAATGGGTGAGTGAGTATGGTTTTACCCCGCTTTGGTTAGTTGGTTGGTTGGTTGGTTTGTTGTTTAACGCCGCACTCAGCAATATTCCAGCTATATGACGGCGGTCTGTAAATAATCGAGTCTGGACCAGACAATCCAGTGATTGATATCATGAGCATCGATCTACGCAATTGGGATCGATGACATGTATCAACCAAGTCAGCGAGCCTGCCCACCCCATCCCGTTAGTCGCCTTTTACGACAAGCATAGTCGCCTTTTACGGCAAGCATGGGTTGCTGAAGACCTATCCTACCCCGGAATCTTCACGGGTCTGTCGGGAAACGAACCCGGATATGTGGTCCCCATGGTTAGGAAAGATGCCAGGCATGCAGTACGATCGCCGTACATAGTTTACCCTTCCCGTTTGTTAGTGGGTTAGCTTTCCATTAACACGTGAAAGGTCAGCGTTCGATTCAAACACAATTGTTCACTTTTTTGAAGCATTTTAATGACTTTTTTGCTTGTTGTTTAACTCCGCAATTCTTCTAGCAATATGACGGCGGTCTGTGAATAACCGAGTCTGGACCAGACAATCCAGTGATTGACATCATAAGCATCTTTCCACGCAGTTGGGATCGATGACATGCATCAACCAAGTCAGCGAGCCTGACCACCCGATCCCGTTAGTCACCTTTTACGACCAGCATAGTCAATTTTTACGGCAAGCATGGGTTGCCGAAAACATTGCAACCCCGGATCCTCAGGGGGTTTGTCTTGATGCGACCGAATAGTTGTTAAAGAATAAAACCCTATTCAATTAT